TATCAGTCGAATGACAATCGCATCAACCCGAGTCGGCGTTGTCATTGCCTTCAATTCCCACGGGTATACCATAACCAATAACCATCATTACCAAGACAAAAACCACGCCGTAGCCTCATCTACCCTCATCACCTTCCCATTCGCAACCAACATCACGGAGCCGTTGCTCAAGCTTGCTGTGGCGGCATGTGCATGCCCTCCTTCTGCGGTTGGTACCCCTGGACAATAGGCCCCGTCGACAGACGCGCCTGCACCTCCTTATCCTGCTGGATGAGCGCGCAGCACCCGCACCAGTAGCTCACGCAGCAGTCGGAGCCGCCGGAGCCCTTGATACCGAAGCGCTCGCGGATCTCGCCGCGCTTCATCATGGCGTAGATCCAGCCGCAGCCGGTGAACCAGGTGATGCCGCACATGAGCAGGCAGTCTGTGTTGATGGCCTCGTATGTCTGCATTGTGGGGTCGCGCATGCGCTCTGAGGTCTTGCCGAGGACTGTTGGGTGATGCGTATTAGTTAGGCCTCCTGGGTTTAGAACGTGGAGGAGAGAACTTACGCAAGCACGGGAGACAGGTTCCCACGATACAGGTATCACAAGGGCCGCAGTCCATCAAGCTTGACTGCCATTCTTGGGTCTGGACATTGGCGCCTTGAACGTATTCTTGCTGCATTGTCTGCTGGTGCTGGGGATGGGGCTGGTGCTGGTGCTGGAGCTGCTGCTGTTGAGGCTGTTGTTGCTCGTAGTACTGCTGCTGTTGCTGCTGCGGTTGCATTTGAGGCTGCATCTGGGGCTGCTGGTACTCCGCCTTGGGTTGCTGTGAGTAGTCCATGTTGACGGGTTGCGATGCTTGATACTGGTGCTAATGGGTGCTGAAGGTGACCGTTCGAGGGCAGAGGTTCCAGAAACAGAGAAACGTCGAAGAGAGCGTCGAAAAGCCAAAGAGCGAGGGTGAGGGATTCCGTGGTCTGATATACAGCAGCCAGTGGGCTTCATGTAAGACAAGGCGCGAGCAACGCTTCGACGAACGGGCTGATGGCTAAAGGCCTCAATACGGGTTGGACGAATGCAGACGGCCGATCACATCTCAAGAGTGGCCGCATTTGGTTTAACGGGAGGTGCCCAAGTAGTGGCTTAAGTCACCAGTGGTCACACAATAAAAGTACCTTGATCTCGTAGCTGAAAAAAATATGGGAATAAAAACAAGCTTCAATACAAATTACCTCGTCCCCAGTCCAGTCCACACATGCGCTAGTGTAGGCTGCTGCTAGACAACGCCAATAGGCGTTTTTGATGACTTTGAGACAGGGACGTGCTTCTCGCTTGGGGGAATGAGGCTTTGCTCATGTCAAGCACTTTTCTCCGGTTCTCTAACCATTCCTCTGGAGTCTGGCAGGCCCATGGAGTTCGTAGCCTTGGTAGCGTTTTGGAAGGAGAGATGAACATCCCCACAACTCCTTTACTCACCTGTCGGCTGCCTGAATCCTGTGCGTCCGAGCCATAGCAAGAACTTTGTAGCCGATCAGCGCCGGCGTAAGAAGAATATGTCAGACCATGATCCGTGAATCCATTACACACTCGGCGAGTCGGCATGCCCCTCGACCTCTCGTTTCCCCCCTGTGGCTTCCTGGTCGAAGCGGTGATTGGAGACTTTGCTAACAGAGGCAGCAACCGGCTCATGCATCACGGCGGGGACGCTAGGCCCGACGATGTTGGATTGGCGTCCTAGGGCTGAGCTTGGCGGGCAAGGGGGATTTCGCGAGGCAGATTGAGGGCTGTGTTTGGCATTTCTTCTCCAAGCAAGGGGTATTGAGTTCACCTTCTTTCGTGTAGGTATACTTTCCCGAGACTGTGAGATTTGGAGCCGCTGACTGTTGGCACCTGGTGGAAAAGTGTGCAACATGAGAGACAGTGCCATTGATCGCTGTGCCTGTGGTCTTAAGGCTTCGCTTCCTCCCTCCAAGTTGGGAAGAAATGCCTGCCGGGTGTGGTGTGGGCCGGGCCTCACTCCGTCGTGTTTCCAGTGAACGGGCTCTGGCAAAGACGGGGCCAACAATGATCGGCACAGCTAACGTAGGCAGACACAGCTCTGAGTTGATCCTAACCGTGGTGATCGAACATGAGTCGTGGAGAAAGGTGCGTGAGAACTTGAGCAGAAGGGTGAGTGAGTTGTCCAAGGCAAGGCTCAGCTCAGCTCCTCCAGCTCACTGCACTCGGATCTAATAGCTGCGATAATTCTGACGAATGGTTGGAAACGGTCCCCCGATTTTAGGTTGGGATTTCCAGGCTGTCCCTGCAGTGGTCCCCTTTTCTAAACCCCTTGCAAGTTCCTGTGGTTACACTCTCTGACCCCTGTCATTCCATCTCATCTTACCATTTTGAAGGGTCCCAAGGAAAGGAGTGAGACTTCCGATGAGGCTTTGTCAAGCGGGCTTCAGCTTCTATTCATGGCCTGACATTGCCCTGAGCTGACTTGCTTCACTGCTAGATCATTAGGTAAACTGCTTGTCAAAATGGGCAGTCAGTGATACGCGACGATATAGCATCTCTCCATCGTGTAACGCTCGATGCTGTCTAGTACTTAGGAATCTACATCGGGTTTGCCTACACAGGCCCTCTTTTTACAATACGGAGTCCGTCACCGAAGATGGATGGTTCTTGATGTCGGAGCAATTTCCGGCATATGGACTCAAAATACACATCACGCGTCTTCATTCACCGCACCAACCTCATCTAGATCTTCCTTCCCCTCTCCCTTCTTCTTATCACGAACCCTCTTGCTCATGATGACATAATCCGGCACAAACACCTTGCCGAATCTCAACTTTCTCTCCACAGGCGACAGCGCATCAATCTCGAAGCCAAGCTTCTCATAAAACGCGCGCGCATCTGCGTTAGCGATGAAGCATGTCAACATCACCTTGTCTATTATGGGAATGCTCTCCGCCACTTTTACGAGGTAATCCATAAGTGTACGACCCACGCCCGTGCTGCATCGTGTTCTAGTTAGCTTCTCTTCGCGGCATTGACAGTTGGAAGTGTGCGCTGCCGGCATGAGATCCCGATCCTCCTCCGTGATGGTGCTGACAGCGCGATGGGCTGAGCCCCCCGGCTACCGGTCCCGCGCCGATTACCCTCCCCCGGGCTCACTCTTCGAGCAAGAAAACACGTAGGAAACGTCCTAAAACTCACCCTCGTAATTCCCCTAAGAGGTGGATCTCATAGCAGTATACCACAGCCTCACCCTCCTCAAAGGTAGGCATAAGACTCGTGAACCCACAAATCTTGTCCTCCACAGCATTTCCGCACACCTCACTCTCGTCATTACCAGCGGTAGCTGCATCAGGTGCTGATGAACCCGATTTTTTGACGAGGATATATCGCAATCCTTCACTCTTCATCTCCCTCATCTTATGCGCCGGCCGCCACCCATCTTTTGAAGCGCGGTAATCGGCTCCACTGGTGTAGTCGATGAGATCGAAGCACGCTTTCAGGTCACTCTGTGCGAGCTGCGCCGGGGACTTGAGTGAGAGGGTGTACGATGTGCCGCTCTTGGGGTGCGTCCAATTCGTCCACTCGGGGCTGGCATCGTTGTGTGAGACGTGAGCACCCGGGAGAGGTTCGGAGCTATCTTGAGATACGCCTGCGTGGATGTGAGACGAACCTGGGCTGGAGATGGTCCTTGATAAAGTCGGCATCGGATTTGCGGTTCGCTGCCTCGATGGGGTTCGTTGGGGCCCTGCGGCGCTTGCGGGGTGGTGCCATCTTTCGGTTGGAGACGGGGAAAATATGAAAGTCTCGTGGCGTATCTACAAGTTCAAGCGAAGAGAGAACGAAGGAAAAGTCAAGCTATGCAATCTTTAACTCCTAATTTAGGGGATGAGAACTCGGTGTAAAGTGACAACCCAATTCCACAGACCTCTGTCTCCCGTCACCGAGACCCTTGCTGAGCACTGGCTTCAAGTCCCGAAGTTTCCCCGTCCTGACCTCATCCACTCCAAAAAGTTTCCACACTACAGCCCAGAGCACCAATTGGCTTTGAAAGCATGAAAGCGCAGCAGTCTCATTTGATATTGGTAAGTGAGAAACATCAACGTCTACTTGAGCCGAAACGTATTCAATCTCACACCCAATTCGCAGATGTAGTCGGAGCCTCCCATCCCTTGGCCCTAATGCCCTTCAAAAACCCCCTGTGGTCAATTGCCCGCAGCTACTCTACCCGGCCAGCAAGGTCGCGGCTCGGGAAGAAGGCCTTGAGCCTGGATCATGTAAGAACCATTGCCATCATACTCTCTCTTCATGTCACTTTTGCAGCTCTTCATATGAGAATAGCGGCCAAGAGTTTCAATCAATGACTGTGGAAAAATGTATAAGCACATGCTCACACTTTCCATAGTTCCTCCAGAGATCCCGCGTCATATCCCTCTACCGCGAAATCATCCGCGGCACACGGCGCATCGCCGACCCAAACACCCGCGCTGAGTCGAGACGGTACGCCCGCGATGAGTTCGAACGTCACCGAGATGTGACGGACCTTGTAAGCTCCCACGTCCCCTGCCCCTTTACCTCTCCTTCTTACGGGACTGACAATACTATGCTCCAGGGACACATCCGCTATCTCATCTCAACAGGTAAGACGGAGTGGCAGGGCATGGAACGATACGTCGACGGAATGTAAAGTTCTCATCATTGTAAAACCAGTAAAAAGGATCTTTGTATAATACACACCACAAAAGGTCTACTCCTCGCTGCAATTTGCTTCTATAGCTTGCAAGGTGCCCAGTGATGGAGGGGGATCTTTCTAAAAACTCCAGTGGGGCAATGGTATCGATCCCATGGACGTCTCTCAAAACTTGTCTACAGTCGCAACATCCTCACGTGCTGTCCCTCGCCCGATGCCCCATTTCTCTGAGCTTCCCCGGTCCCTCCTCTCTGTATGGTACAAGGTTTTCATACACACCACTTCGTTGATAGTCTCCCTCTCTGAACCCAGAACCGAAGAATCTCTCAAGATTGGCGTTGCTTGTGTCTGGGGTTCGCCTTGCAGATGACGTACAGGTATCCGTTATGTCTCTTGCCCGCCTTGCGTCTAACAATCTGTGGCGCATGAAGTTAGCGAAATGTCCATACCAGAGCTCAGCTTCACAATGCGAATTCTCCTCTGGTCGTCCATCCGGATATCCTCAATTCCACCTACCCCATCCCCCAACGGCCTTCCCCCTCCCCCATAAACATGGAAAAAGCATAGGTTTACCTTGCAGTGCTCACACCTCTTCTTAACGGAGCTGTGCACCTTCATCCCCCTCGTCTGCTGCACCAAGGCATTCACCACGCCCGAGGCGCTCTTTCCGACCTGCGCGAGCATCGACTCGCTCTTTTGCGCCGGCTGCTTCGTCAGGATCGCCGTCGAGAGGGCGCGCGTCGCCGTGGTTGTGGCAGCGGAGCTGGCGGCGCGGGGGATCGTTGCGCGTGCGGTGCTGAGGGTCAGGGCCCTGAGGGAGGCGGCGAGGGAGGAAGCCATTGTGTAGTCTTTTCTCGATTTTCCTGGTCGATGTGTCGTCGGGCGGATTGTGAGAGGAAAGGTCGGACACGGTGGGAGTCGGGAGCTTGGCCTCTGGTGAGTAGGAAGTCTGATGAGTGCTAGAGCACGAGACTTGTCGATTGAGAGCTATCCGGAGCTACGAGGTCCGTATTTCGTGGTGAGGCGTGGAGCTTCGCGATGCCGACTGCTCTGGTGGTGAAGGGGGCCTGGATGGCCTCAGTTGGAGCATTTTCGACGCCTTGGCGGTCGTCACGTGGTGCTGATGTCCGTGCGCTTATCGAGACAACTACTCTTATCGCCCAGCTGCGGTATCGGATGAAAAGGTACCGATGATTTTGAAAGTTGTGTGCAGCGAAGTACAGTCGACATGCAAGCAAACAAAATAGGTCATGTAAATATCCTCAATTGAGTTTGAATAGTCTATCTACAAGAGGCGGCTTTTCTTCTTCCCCGAGTTGCACAGGCATGCGTGATATCTCCCAATGTTCCGTTTTCTGTCACCCAAATATCTACAAAAACTCCCAGCGCCGTACGAAAATCAACCGAGTAAACGGGTTTTCCAAGCCTTCATTCCTCTAACTACGGAGGAAAGTCTTGAAGACGGCCGACTGGGTGCAGTCCTCCCACGGGTATCCAATCTCGGTCAAGAACGTCTCCAATTGATCAACCTCGTTGTCGGGGCAGAGGATGCCCGCCAAGATCTTACCCGTGTCACCACCGTAGTTACGGTAGTTGAACAGACTAATATTGAACTTGGGACGCAGGGTCATGAGGAATTTCTCCAAAGCGCCGGGCCGCTCAGGGAAGTTGAACATGTACAGGCGCTCGTTGGGCACGTTGGAGCGACCACCGACGAGGTACCGGATGTGGCTCTTGGCGAGCTCGTCGCCCGAGAGATCCGTCACCGACATGCCGTGCGACCGAATGCGCTCCAAGAGCATCTGCAGCTCCTGCGTTCTTTGCGATGCAGGGGCTGTTAGGGAAATACCAATAAGAACATTGGCAACTTCGTCGGTCGCGTAGCGGTATGAGAACTCGGTCACGGAGTGGGGCATGATGCTGGTGATGAGGTTGGAGAAGGCACCGGGCTTCTCGGGAATGCTGACCGCCAGCAGGGCCTCCTTACCCTCACCAAGAGTGGCGCGCTCAGCGACGAAACGCAGCCTGTCAAAGTTCATGTTGGCGCCAGAGGTGACAGCCACCATGGTCTTGCGGCGATCGCTCGGGTTCTGAGCGACGTATTTCTTGAGGCCGGCAATGGAAAGGGCGCCGGCGGGCTCGAGACCGGCGCGAGTGTCATCGTACATGTCCTTGATGGCAGCGCAGACCTCGTCCGTGGTGACTTGGATGACCTCATCCACAACGTCCTTGCAGAGGCGGAACGTCTCCTCGCCGACGGTCTTGACGGCGGCACCGTCTGCAAAGAGGCCGACGCTGTCCAACACCACTCGCTCTCCCTTGGCCAAGGACTGGACCAGAGCGTTGGCGTCGTAGGTCTCAACACCAATGATCTTAACGTGGGGCGCCATGCGCTTCACGTAGACACCGATTCCGGAGATGAGGCCACCACCTCCGACACAGCAAAAGATGGCATCGAGCTTGGACATGTTGATCTGGCCGAACAGCTCCATACCAATGGTTCCCTGGCCCGCAATGACGTACGGGTCGTCAAATGGCGGGATGTTGATCAGGCCGTCCTGCGCCGCTCTCCGGCCGCACTCCTCCTTGGCGGCATCGAAGTCGGCACCGTGCAAGACAACGTGTCCGCCCAGGCGCGCAACGTTCAGATGCTTGATGCTAGGTGTGGCTTCGGGCATGACGATGGTCGCGGGAATTTTGAGCTTGCGGGCCGAATAGGCGACGCCCTGAGCGTGGTTACCGGCGGAGCAACAGACGACGCCCTTCCAGCTAACGGCGGGGTCGAGGTGGGCCATCTTGTTGTAGGCGCCGCGCAGCTTGAAGCTGAAGACGGGCTGCTGGTCCTCGCGCTTGAGTAGAACATTGCACTCGAGTCGGTTGCTGAGGTTGACGGCGGGCTGGAGCGGTGTGACCTTGCAGGCTTCGTAGACGCGGGACGTCGCGGCGGCGATCATTCGGAGGTACTAGACGCGCACACAAATGTTTAGCCGTGGTCCCAATTGAGCCATTAGCATTGCCATTGGGGATTATTCTCACGTCTGGGTGGCCATCAGGCAGCAGAAAGTCCTCGGGAACAACACCCTTGATGCGGCTCCTTCTCTCCTCTGGCGGCGTGGACGGGTTGGCGCTGTACTCAGTCAAGGACATTCCGGCGGGCTGCGGTGTTCTTGGGCGCGGCGGGTGGTCGCCATTGACGCCATTGAGTGTTCCGTTGGTCATGACGGCGACAACGGGGGGCTCTGCGTTCTCTGACATTGTCCTGATGTCTTGGGAAAGGTGTTTGTGAGAAGAAGAGGAGTCACCAAGACCGGAACAGAAGCAGAGGAATCGTCCAAGAAAGAGTCACGAACGGCGGGCCCCAACAACCTAATCAACGGGACCAGACCGGCCTGAATTAAACTGGAAATTTGTTCATAGTGGGGCAGATATCGGAGCGCAAGTCGGGCTCGCGGGGTAGAACATCAGACGGTTTTTCTTGCGGTGTGTTGGCCAGCGCTGCCATCCACGCCCTGTCAGCAGCTTTTTTGGCGCTGGGGATTGGCTAACGCACCCTTGTACCTGCTGTAGCGTCAGCAAGGGCGTCGTGCTCCCCCTGCTGTCAGTGTCCGTCACGCTGGGAGTTGAGGGCGACATCGCTGACACTGCAGACCGGGGTGTTTTATCGGGACATGGACTGTGCGTCACGCTATCTTATCAGATAACAGCTCGATAATACATACCTTACACATCTTGATAAGAATCCGAGCTGCACAAAATGTGGCTGGAGAGAGAGCAAGTTAAGCCACACCGCGCCGGCCGGGATTTGCCGCAAATCTGCTCAAGGGTCGAAGCTCTGGGCGCCGCGCAGCCAGTCCCCGAAAGCTAGGAGGGTCTCGGAGTCCATTTCATCATCGAATTCGCCGACTACTGCACTTTGGCGGAATAATCGCACGACCAATTCCCAACTCCACGATTGCGACTTCTTCAACCACCATAACGCCAATTGCAAACCGCCAAAATGCCCGGTCCAGACGGAAAACCCTCGTTGCTCGATCAACCTATGCCATCGTCTTTTGACGAGAACAAGTAAGCCAGCCCGCCCCCCACTGTCGGGCTCTACGGGAGCTGCACATCATCAAAAGTCCAGGAATTGGAGGTTTGCTAACCCACGCACGCGACCCGCAGCGAATTCTACGATGAGCGCGTTCTTCACAAGGCCTTCCGCAAGCTCAAGGAGGAGCCTCTGATCCCCCTCGGTAAGCAATTGCTCTCACCACTGCCCCTCTCTCCGCCGGAAACCCGCTGCATCTAGCCATTCTAACCAGCGTCGCAACCACAGGATGTGGTCTGACCGTCTTCGCCTTCGTCAACGCCTGGCGCGCGACCCGCCGCGGCGACGCCAGACAAGCCAACAAGATGTTCCGCGCCCGTGTCGCCGCCCAGGGCTTCACCGTCTTCGCCATGCTCGCCGGTAGCATCTACTACAACAAGGACCGCGAACGCACCGCCGAGCTGCGCAAGATCAAGGAGGCCAAGGACGCCGAGGAGCAGCGCCAGCGCTGGATCCGCGAGCTCGAGGCCCGCGACGAGGAGGAGAAGGCGCTCAAGGCAAGGATGCTGCAGAGAAGGGCGAGGCTCGATGCCAAGAACGCCGGTGAAGATACGCCAGCTGAGGGAGAGCAAGGCAAGACCGGGGGCGTGCTCGGTGCGCTGGGCTTGTCGGCGTGGAAGAAGTCTGAGGACGGCGATGCTGCTGCGGGTGAGACGCCGGTTGAGGAGAAGCCGCAGAAGAAGGAGAACCCTAAGAGCTCGCTTGGTGCCATTGGCGAGATTTACGGCAGAAAGCCATCGTCGTCGGATGGGTCATCAGAAGAGCCCAAGAAATAAGGATGGACCAGGGCAAGATCGACACTCTGATTTGTATCACATCACGGCTACATTGTACAGTACTGGCATTGGCATCGACGCTTAGGACGAGCACATTGTCTCATTGAAGACTCCGCTCCGTCGTATATAAAAGCGGGGGCGGCCGGCGGCGCATCTGGGTTGAATTGAATGGTTATCTAATATCTTGACAGAGGCAGGAGATGTGATCAGCCTTGGCGAAGCTGACCTGTCACTTGGCAGGCCAATCCTCGTATACCTATTCTCAGAAACGAGCGGCATAAATCAGCACGCACGCTGCAGTTGACCGGCTGTTATGAGGCATTCCGGCGGGGTCATGATTGACTCCGTGCAAGCTCCACGACGGCCTCAGCACCGACAGCATGGCCGTGAGGCGGCAGCAACGGAACCTAGCTCTCTTAGTTTTGGACTTACAACCCGGCTACGTGACTCTGTGCGTTTGTAGGCGGTCTAGAAATCTGAGGATGTCTGGACCGAAGATAAGCATTTCGTTAAAGGGCCAAACTCTAATAAACTTTGGGATGTAATTGAACGCATTTCTCAAGGGCTCCTCGGTATATATTGTCACAACACATCGCTACTACCTTAGTGTCTAAAGACGGAACCTGCCCGCCAGGTCTTGGAGATCTGAACAAGTACGCAAGAAAGTATACACCTCTTTTGTAAGAGAACCAATGTAATTCAGGTTGCCGTGCCTGAGTCTATACAGCCATGCAACACCAACTTGTCCAGCATCCTAGGTAGAGACCGAGTCAAGTGGGTGCTTCCTCACAATTCGGTTCCTTGATGAACGAATAGCACAACTTATTGCAGCATTAAATACACTTCCATGGTCAAAAGAGCGACGCCAAAGCGGCTGCGAAGATGGGCGTCGCTCTTTTGACCAGTCCAAGGATGCGCCAACTACATGTTCTACCATTGCTGCGACGATAACGGCATGCCCGGCGGCTGAGCCACCAACATTATATGCCCCAGGAAGCTGGAGTCACTTACGGAATTGGGCGCGACATTGAATGAGTGCAACTAGTCCAAGAATTATCTCTTTCCTTATAGTGCTTTGGAAAATTGCGACATTAGGCGACGAAGCAAAGCTGCCGGCGCGACGGGGGCGGGCTCGAGCTGCAGAGACAAGGTTGAATAGGTGAATTAAAAAAGATCCAGCTTACTTGAGCTGTGTCTCGCAATACTCATTCGATTACTGAGAAACTTCGAGATTTGTGTATTCTTCAGCCTATCCCATTCTCAAGGCATATGCATCAGTTTGGTCCCCTTCCTCTCATCAGTTGCGACGGGACATTTGCCCAGGAGCT